AAGCTGTTAAATAACACTCACATGCTGTAACTTCCTGATTTATTTTTTTTTTCCTTGAAGCAATTAACAACAGGATCACTGACCTGATACCAGCAAGAGAGGGCCTCAGAAACTAACTTGGGTAAAGGCAGCAGGCACAGATGTTTTCTGAGGGTGGCAGGGCCACTCTGCAGTCAGACACACCTGGCACCATGCTTAACTAGGCCACCTGACATCTGTACCACCCCAAAGAGTTGTGTAACCACTCAGTCTTACTTTACTCATCTGTAAAAACAAAGGTAATAATAATGCCTGCATCCCTGGATTCCAATGAGGATGGTGAACTAAAAATTGTATCTAACATATACCTATTTTTCCTAAAGACAAATTCCACTCAAATGTGTAAAAAAACATTATTTTTCTTTCTTCTTTCTTCCACTACTCTGACACATAAAATATTCTGAGGCATTACTTGAAGTCAGATGACTCTTAACTTTCTCTAAGGCCTTTGCCAGCTATACTTCTGCTTGACATGATACAGTCCCCCCTCCCCACTGCACTGAAAAACAAAAAGCCTCAGTTTGAAAGGCCAGTAGACAAATAATGACAATTTCAACAATGGGTGTGGGTAACACTAGAAATGTGTCCTCCTCCTGAGGATTAAAAAAAAAACCCAAAAAACTCCAAAACCAAAACTCACAAGTAGCCACCATATTGGGATTAGGTAGCCTGTTAAGGCTGGGCTAGAGAGTTTCTGCTGCTTTGAAATAACAGGTGATTTTGATCTGTGGTGGAGGGAAGGAGGGAGGGAGGACACCAGCTCACATAAAAGGGAACATAGGCAACTGAGCCCAGGCACAAACTTCAGAAATTAGTCACTGGTTACCATGGTAATGCAAATATTACCTAATAACTCACTGGGCTGTAAGTAACCAAGATCGGAGGAAATGCATTATTTTTAAAACCAGAATGTACCAGAGCCTCAAGTGTGTATTTTTAGGGATATTGACAAAGAACTAGACTGGACATGAGCAGCTAAATGAAGCAGCCCAGGTTCAAATCCCACAGGGCAGGACGCCCAGCTCCAACAAGCCAATCCTCTCGGAGCGTCACACGCAGCTGCACCCAGCAACAGCTGCAGGGAAAAGAGTGGTGACATTTTATTTACAAACAAAGGGCTATGATTTGAAAGCTTAGTCTTCTCAGGCCCTAAAAAAAATCAACCGAGCTATGGCCCACTGAAGAGGGAGACACAACGGCAGACTTCCATGGCAGTGCTTTTTAAATGCGACATCCAAATTTTCTAGAAAGTCACTCTTAAGATGCCCAGTAGAATAACTGTCCCACTGTTTGAGTATTTGAGTTTTTGGAATACATTTTCATTTTAATAATAAAAAAGTTGTAAACATCGCATAACTATTTAAGTTACTCTGTCTAAAATCCTTATGCATGCTCATACTCCCACAACAGAATCAGGACACATTTTTTGCTCGGGGGGACAGTGTAACCAACTGTTAACCTCGGCTCCACTTCCTTAGAATAGAAGCCCGAAGCAAGGTTCCTCCATGTGGTCTCTAGGACCCTGAGACCTGGGAGGTTCTTGAAAATCCCTGGTCATGCCCAACTCAAGAAAGCATGCTGTGCTAAGAAACTGAGGTCTCTAGAAAATGACAAAAGACAGAGCAGCTCCTTTAAGACAAGGCCAGTCTGAAGATACTCCCAAGATGCAAAAATTCAGGTAATCATATTTTCTCAAGTGGCTTTCCATCAACGCACAAATCTCAGTTACAATATACATGTATATGTGTGTGTATGTGAGTGAAACAAGTAAGACAAGTTATGTGCTCTGAAACATTCTACTTTAACATATTCCATGTTAAAAAATATTCTTGCAAGCAGTGAAATTTATTTTACTACCCACTTTAAGGAATAAGCTGTGCCTGACCCAAACCACACAAGGTATTTTCAACCGTTTTATATGTCCACAAACGCTGGTGAATGAATAAGGAAGATCAAAGAATTGGTGGATCTGAATTACAGTTTTGAAAAGGAATACTGAAAATGCCATGAGGTCCCAAAACAATGAATAAATCCTTCTGAGAAGAAGTAGTGCCATAAATGTGTCTCAAAAGCTGGAACTGTGAGACTTGTTACTGGATGTACACTGGGCATGTTATTAGAAGAGAGGTCAATTCCATCACGCTTGGTAAAGTTGAAGGTCAGCACACAAAATGAAGGAAGACCTTTAACGAGATGTACTGACAGAGGTTATAGTAACGGAACTCAGACTCTAATTGTGAGGAAGGTACAGTGTTTCTCATTCTGTTGTTCACTGGGAGGTAGAAAACATTTGACAGCACTTAACAACAACTTCCTAGCTGGTGGTAACCTATAGTCTGAAAAAGCGCATCTGCATCAGAGTAGAACGGTGCATCGTAGGGTTTTCTTCTCCATCCTTTTCCCCATAGAGATTTCAGCACCTGATTTCTTAGAAGGAGATTGCCAGACCTTCCTTCCAACGTACTGCTGGCTGGATTCAAACCTTCAACTCTCTGGTTAGTAGTTAAGTGCTTACTGTTTGGAGCACCTAGGGACTTCTCCAATCAAAACAGGCCTCTCATTCTGTCCCCACTCTCCACCACCACCACTCCGGTCACTGTAAGGACTGCTAACAGTGATAAACAAGGCCTGTTGGACACCGGAGCCTCAGCTCACCTGCTTCTTCCTCCTCCCAGAACACTGCTCACTTCAATGATAGCACTGAATACCCTGTTCACCAGGTATTTTCTCCCCTCCTCTCAAGCTCCACTGGTCATGGGTTCCAGAAAGAGCTCTTAACTCCTGTGCAAGTGAGTGAGCTCTCAGTACATCTGAGCAGAATACTAAAATGCTGCAGACATTCCTAAAAGGCAAAGTATTAGAAGTACAAAAACATGGACTCAATGTATTCTTGACTCAATCATTTAAAGCTCATGAAACACTAGTCAAGTCAGAAGACACTGTCCCAGTCAGTTGACCTCTACAGACTGAGTTCCTTATCTACTCACCAAAGCTAATGTGTGTATCACAGGTTTCAACATATGTAATACATGTCCAGTCATAGGCACACAGTAAAAACCTCAATTTCTACTCATCAACCCTCCATCAGGTTTTTGAGGCTTCAGATCGCAATGGGAGGCAGCTGTCCATCTTCCACAGCACTGCTGGTCAATTCCAACTCTGGAGACAAGCAGCCCTGGACTCGGCAGAGCAGTTCACTACAGATCACAGCACCTCAACATCGTTGGCACACAATCAACTCAAAGGCATTGCTGTTGAGGAGGAACTGACTGTCTAGCAGGGCCTGCCAATCACACAGGAGGAGGCCTTCCATCTTTCTCCCTTTTCGCAGCAGTTGGTAGATTCCAACTGCTATGGGTGAGCAGTACAACTTCCTATCTACTAGGCCACCAGAGCTCCCCTGATATAAAAGTACTGAATTAATCATCAGTGGATCAAGGGCACTGGGGTCTTGGACATTGTTATGGTACTGAACAGGTCTGGGTGACGTTATGAGACTAAAACGAACTAAGAAGAGAGGACTGGCAACAGCCTTGTGATTATGGCTCACAATGGACCAATTCACAGCCAACCTTGGAGACAGCACAGGCTGGTGGTGCAGGTTTACGGTGGTACAATATGGTTGCCCCGGGTCAAGGTCCCACTCGACAGCCAATAACAATGGTAATCAGGGCCCTCAAACTAGCTCTTCATGCTTCCTGAGCCACCAGAATCTTTACAATCCCTTTCTTTTCCAAATCTATTGAAAACAATAATGAAAATCACCCAAGAAGAAAGTGGCCCACCTAGAACCTCAGAATACTTTCATTGTCTACAATGCCACCTCTGTAAAGTTTTTCTTGTTGTTTCAAATGCTTTAAACTGAGATTAGAAGTTAGTTTGGGGGGGGGGGAAATCTGATCAAGAAGAGATAAAATCATTAAATATGAAGTAAATGCTTTAACCAAGCAATAAGAAAGGATGTAATTAGTATATTCACTGCCAGAAGGCAAATGCTGTTGCTAAAACAGGACTTGGGAACATCCTTGGTCTTCACCCTTGAATGGGCTAAGTGCTGCCTTGTTAATACGGTTGTTTGCCTTGCAGTTCCCATTTGCGTGCATGGTAAACAAAACAAACAAAATAGAAAAAAAAACCCTTTTGCTGCTGAGAGGATTCTGACTCACTGCTATCCCCACAGGACAGAGTAAAACTACCCAACAGGGTTCCCAAACTGTAACCTTTATAGATGCAGACTAACATATTTTTCTCCTAGAGTGGCTGGTGGGTTGAAACCATTAACTGTCTGGTTAGTAATAGAGTACTGAAGCATGGGCTACCAGGACTCCTTTCCATGGATGTTTGTTGGTGGTTGTTATTAGATGCCATCAGACTAAGTACAACTCAGCAAACCTAAGAGCAAAAGATCTGAATCATATCCTAGCCTGTGCCATCCTCATCATTTCCAACCACTTAAACCGACTGCTACAGTCACTGCATCAATCCCCTACACTGAAAGGTTTCCTCTCTTTTGCTGATCCTCCACCTTTCAAAGCATGATGTCTCTTTTAAGGAACAGCCTCTTACAGCAACATGCATAAAATATGTGAAACAAAGTTTCGCCATCCTAGCTTCCAAGAAGCACTTTGTCTACACTTTTCCCAAAACATATCTATTTAGTTTTTCAGTAGATATTCAGAGCTCTTCTCAAACCCCACAACTCAAAGGCATCAATTCTTCTTCTGTCATCCTTATTCACTGTCCAGCTCTCAGACACATAGCAAGTGACTGAAAAGACCATGACCTGAATCAGGCACACTTAGTTTTCAAACTGCCATCATTGTTCCTCAGTAAAGAGATGTTAGAGATGTAACATTCAGTCCAGTATGCTTAGTCTCGCATAGAGTTTTAAACATTAGTAAGAGTCACTGTCCTTAATCAGTAATGGCCAAAGCCCAAGTTAAGTAATGTAATCCACTTACCTTTTCTGTGATATAAAAGTTTGAACTATCAGCATGCTGTAGTGCAAAATATTCATGGTTGGCAAGAGACCACCTGGAAAACAGACACATACACTGATCAGGAAAAGAACCACTTGGCCCTTTTCTTAGCTTTAAAGGGTTAGATAAACTGAATCTATGACTGAATAAAGACATTAACTCAACATAGGGATTAAGGGCAGCAAAGACTGTGAGGACGGCTGGCAAAGTTTCCATCTACTGTACAGGGAGAAATTAGCTGTGAATCTGAATCAAATGGATTGTAATTAACAACAAGAAGACTAGACTGAACCACTTCCAACATACAGTGCAATGCATTTCCTATCACAAAATAACAATGCTCATCATGTTTGATGATTTTGGGAATGACTGTTCCACATATGGACATTCTAAGCTACATCACACCTACCACTCTAAGATTTTTATCGTCATGGCTACAGGTAGAAGAAATTAAAATACGCACTATTACATTCCTCCCTATTTTGAAGGAATGAAGCTGGTATCAAAACAATACCATTTAAATGTTTGCTAACTGGGAAACAGCAATTGTCTCTGTATTCTACAAGCCTTCATCTGAATATGTATTTGACACTAGACCAAGCCAGTTAAGTACTCTGTATCGTGTATGAATTCCAAGTGATACTGTATCTGCAGTTTGACTTTAAAAGTCAAATTCACACAACTTGCACATATGTTTCCTCTGTAACTGTAAAAGCCACCAGGAGAGCCTGGGAAGTCCCACGGTGTGAAGTCTCATGTGGCACCACAGTCCAAGATGCTGCCTTGTCTTAAATTCCACTATCTTCTTTTAACACCTGTGTGGGCCTCTCCATTTAGATAAGATTAAGTGTGAGTTTAACCTTGGGAAACCTTAGGCTCCTCACCCTGATGGGCAAGATGAATGGACAATTTTTCAAAATAAACAGACCCCAAAGCGCACAGCCAGCCATGTCCCTCTTTTCTTCTCTTTACAGCACAGCTGGCCTTTTTTGGTGGGAAAGGGTTAAGCCTTTCAAAGTCATTCGGAGTGAGTCTGGGCAGGCACACAGTGACTTAGGAACAATAGCCTACTATTACTTTCCTATTATTTTCTTTGTCTATTTGTGGAGCTCAAATGTATCCTGAGTAACACTTACCCGTCACAGACTTCCTTTATTATTGCAGACAGTGGTTTTTTCTGCAAAAATAACAAAAAAGGAAATACTTTCTGTTAGTTTCATTTCATCATTTTAAATTTAAAAAAAGGAAGAAAGAAGGCCAGCCTAATAAAATGCTATCTACACAAGAAGAATTTACATTTGCTGTTAAGTCTTTTATTTCTTTACTTGACGTCACACAACAACAACAAACCATCATCTCCAAATGTATTAATGATTTATGACCTTTGTGGCCTTTCTCCTCCTATGGCCAATACTATTAATTGGCCAAGACATGTATCACAGTTAACTTCCGAACCAAAGCCACTGCCTGCAGTTGATTCCCACCCACACAGCAATCTTACAGGGCAGGTCAGTCTGCCCCACAGAGCTTCTAAGACTAAAACTCTTTTTAGAAGTAATTTAGTACATCTTTCTAGCCTGGGATGCTAGGTAGGTTCAAGCAGTCAACCTTCTTATTGTCAACCAACTTTAGCTACTGTGCCACAAGAACTCCTCCATATTTAACTAAAAAAAAAAAAAACCCTACACCACAAAAAACAAACAAGAAAAGCACTGCCATTGAATTAATTGTAACTCATGGTGAAATTCTATCAGGTTTCTTCAACTGTAAGTCTTTATAAGAAGAGTCTGCCAATCTGCCAATCTTTCTTCCATGGACCAGCTGGTGGATTCAAACTAACAACCTTTTGGTTAGGAGGCAAACACATAACACACTGTGCTACCAGTGCTCCTTCTCTTTGACTCAGTAGCATTACAGTCAGGATGGAAATAAAATTTTGCACAAAGATCTCAAGGGCAATGAATGCCAGAATGGTTAGATCATAACCAGAATTTTTCAGTAGTAGGACATGAAATCAGGCAACCAGCAATTTAGTTTTATATAAACAAGCTCAGATGCATGTTTTGATGAGAGCGTGTGGCAAATGGAAAACAAATAGCAAAACTGGTCTTACAAAGTGCACAGAATTCTTGCCCCTTGTCAGAGTCCCAATAAATGCCAATCATAAAAGCAGCCTGAGCTGAACTGACTAATGTGACTGCCGCACCAAGTGCCATGGTGTCAACTGGTGGGCTGACTACATGCAGCTGTGCCCCTGTGCCGAACTGCCACATCTGTGCCCCACCAGCCTCAGTGGAAGGAATGCTGCTGAGAGACAAAGCCGTGTGCCCAGCGACAGTGAAACGAGACGACGCCGGTCTTCCGAGGTGAGGGAGTACTACAACCACCAAAAAAGCAAGCCACAAATAAGAAATGGAAATCAAAGCAGTGCATGGTGCCACTGTTGTAGAATGGAACTGACATCAGGGTTGGGGTAAGACAGAGAAAAACTAGATAAAATATGTATACTGCATTAAAATAGATGAGGGAGAGAATAATTTAAAAGTGATATATGATAGAGTATTATGGTTATCACAAGAGTCCAGAATTAAGGTTGCATAGTGGAGTATACTCAGGGTGTTGGGAGGGGTGCAGGGAGATTGTATACCAAAGAAAGAACTTTTCTTTTACTTTTCAAAGAGAGGAGCGAACTCGGAGTGGGGGGAGGGCTCGGCAGGGAGAAAAGTGCAACAATGAATGAATGAAAATCCAAAATCTCTGTAAAGGTTCATTAAAATTAATAAAATTTAAAAAAGACACTGCCTTATATTTTCAGATAGAACCATAAAAAAAGCTATTTCCATACAAGTATGTGCCACTCTTTTTTGCTCTGAAGGACAGTGTCATCTCAGGGAAGAGGTTCTGAATCAAGTTTAAACCAAGTTTAAATCCAAGCTCTGTCAAGATCTCTAAACTTTGACCCACAAGATCTTTAATCTATTCTCCAGCTATTTCATATGACGGGAAAAAGACTCAAAACGTGTTGGGTCTGTTACTGGAACTCTAAATGCATTTTGCATCCTTTCACGTGTATTCAGTTGGTGAAGGCCCTGCAGCACTGTGTGGTGAAGTGGCACTAACCACTTGCTAGGACCTCCCATTCAGTCCACAGTGCGGCTCTGATGAACTTACTCCCGCCAGAGCCCAGGCTCTGGGACTAGGCCCATGGCAATGTCTTTACAAGAATGTCTGCCATCCACTGTCAACAAAGCCACAATCAGAGTAGAGAGCGAGCTGGATTACCAAGGAGTGGAAAGACAGCGGCAGCTCCTAACTTATAAGTTGGTCTCTTTTCAAATACATTTAGAAATGGTGATATAAAGACATACAGATCTTAGCCCTTTCCAGTGACCTATTTATAGCTTTAGTTATGAGCTGAAGTGCAAATGTTTTATCATAATCAAATGACAAAGGAACTTCAGGGAAAAAACTTGCACATAACATGGGAATTTTGCACTTTCAATAGCTTGGGATTTCCTTTCGACTGTATTAGGAACACCTACCAGGTGGCCTCCGACCCTGATCTCACTGTACAATCAAACATTAAAATATAACTAATAGGCCTTAACTTATCGATGTGGAAAAAACCAAGGAAGATGAACAAATGGAAACAATCGATCTTGAAACAATATGCCAGATCAACTAGGTACATTAGAAGGTAGCTAATGTAAAGGCATTAGTTATAGTAGTATTGGTAAGCAAGCAGCCAGGTTGGAAGTCAGTCAAAATAAGGAAAATAAATGCTAACATCATTTCATAATTAGAACATGGAATGTACGTAGTTTTAATGTTAGATAACTAGAAATTGTGAAAAATGAAATGGAACTCACAAACATGAGTGAGATGAGGCGTAGCTTTGAACACTCTGAATCAGATAATCACATGGTATACATATATATATACTATGCTGGGAATGAATCACAGAAGAATGGCATTGCATTCATAGTCAAAAAAGTCAATTTCAAGTTCTATCCTGAAATACAAATTGTGAATGCAGGATACTATCTATATACATAAAGGGAAGACCTGTTACTTTTATTCAAATTTACACTCATAATTCTAGAGCAAAACAGAAAGAAACTGAACACTGTTACCAAATCTTTCAGTCCAAAATTGACTGAATATGCAATTAAGATATGTTAATGATAATTAGTGACTGAAATGCAAAGGCTGGAGAAAAAAACGAAGAAGAAACAGTAGTCAGAATATACGGGCTTGGTGATAGAAATGAGGCTGGAAACAGAATGATCAAATTTTCTGTTTTCAATAATTTATTCCTTGCAAATACCTTTTTTTAAAAAAAAAAAGACAAATGGTCACTTTATACATGAACTTCATCAGATGGGCTGCACAGGAATCAGACTGAAGGAACTGTTGGAGAAGTTCAAAATCAGCAGTCAAATCTAGACCAAAGGCAGGCGGGTCAGATCATCAGTTACTTATGTGCAAATTCAAATTGATTCCAGAAGAAAATAAAAACTAGTCCACAAGAACCAAAATATGATCTTAAATCTGTTCCATCTGAATTTCAAAATCATCTTAAGAATAAGTTTGAAGCATTAAGCGTCAATAATCAAAGACCACACGAATTGTGGAATGGTTATCATCTATAAAGAGGGCAAAAGGTAATTTCAAAATCAGAGGATACAGAAAAAAACTTAAATAGATGTCAGAAGAGACTCTGAAAATTGCACTTGAGCACTGAGAAACCAAAACAAAGGGTAAATACAGTGAAGTAAAAGAATTTAACAGAAGATTTCAAAGGGCAGCTCGAGAAAACAAAGCAGAGTAGTATAATAGAATGTGCAGAGAGCTGGAATTGGAGACTAAAACAGGAAGAACTCGCTCTGCATTTCTCAAGCTGAGAGAACTGAAAAACTAACTTAAATCTCAAGTTGCAATATTGAAAGATGCTATGGGCAATATAGTGAATGACTAAGGAAGCATCAAAAGAAATGGAGGGAATACACAGTCACTGTACTAGAAAGAACAGACTGACACTGAAAAATTTCAGGAGGTATCACTTCAGCAGGAGCCAATGGTAATGAAGGAGGAAGACGAAGCTGCATTGAAAGTACTGGCAAAAAATAAGACTCCAAGAGGAATCAATGAGCTACCAATTGATTTGTTTCAATTAACAAATGCAGCCCTGTATGTGATCACCAGTCTTTGCCAGAAAATGACAGCTATAGGACCAATGGATTGTAAGCGGTCCATATTTTTCCCATTCCCAAAAAAAGGTGATCCAATAGAATAAATTAACTATCAAACAACATCATTAATGTCACAAGCAAGCAAAATATTGCTGAAGATCATTCAAAAATGGCTAGAACTGCCAGAAGTTCAAGCAGGATTTAGAAGAGGCCATGGCACCAGGTATACTACTGCTGATATTAGATGGATCCTGGCTGACACTAAAGAATGACTTTGCAAAGGATCATATGTGAGGATCATAACAAGTTATGGCTAACGATGAGAAGAACGGGAATCCTACATCATTTAATCGTGTTCTGCAAAACCTATAACTAGACCAAGAGGCTGCTGTGTCAAGAGAGCAAGGGAACATTGCATGGTTTAAAATTAAGAAGGGAGTGTGTCAGGGTTCTATTCTCTCTTTGTACCAATTCAATCTGTATGTTGAGCAAAATTTTTAAGAAGGTGGACTCTAATATTCTACAGAAGAATATTCCAGATCAAAGGAAGATTAATCAATAACTTGTATTTTGCAGATGACACAACTTTGCTTGTTGAAAGTGAGGAGGACTTGAAGCCCTTGTTGCAGAAGATCAAAGAATACAGCCTTCAATATGGATTGTTTCATTCCCAGCATAGTATATATATATACCACGGGACTACCAGACATCATCAGCTTGGATGAAGAAAGGATTCAAACGATCAACAACTTCATTTTACTTGGATCCACAATCAACACCCTCGGTATCAGCAATTAGGATTATCAGGAGACATATTATACTGGGAAAATCTGCAGTCAAGGGCCTCTTAAAATTATCGAGGAGTAATGGTGTCAATTTGAGAACTAAGGTACATATGATTAAAACCATGGTCTTCCAACCACTTTTTATGCATCTGAGAGCTGGACAGAAGAGTTGATGCCTTTAAACTGTGGTGTTGGAGAAG